CTACCAGAAAATTCTTCCATAATTTGTTTTCTTTTACTTTTCTTATTCTGAGTTTGTATTTGGGTATAGTAGATCCTAAGCTTTGATATCCAACAGGTGCGGTGCGAAACAAAGGTGACGTGAACCAATTTGGCTTAATGCCAGGAAGGTCGACAACTAAGGCAATCCACCTCCTCAGGCACCTCGTGGAGAAATATAGAGAAAACAGTAAGGATCTACACATGGTATTCATTGACCTGGAAAAGGCCTACGAAGCACTATGACCGAAATATGGATTTTACCAAAAAACACGAAGTTTGTAAAATACTAAATATAACTCTTATAATAGATAAGGACTTTTCTAAACGTTTCAAGACAAATTAGGTTGATATGACCATAGAAACACAAATGTACCACTTTTTTGGAATAGAGGTGTAATGTTTATCATCCTAATTGCATTTAAGACATTTTGATTTGTCATAATCTTATTACCTCAATTAAGCATCAACTCCTTGCCTATTGTTGCATTTATGGATGATCTCACAAGAAATATGAAGTTAAACTTCATTGTGTATGTTTTTTCATTAACATTAAATTTCTTGAGAAAACAAGGCCAACCGTAATGCATGGATAGAGTACGAAGTAACTCTCTGGAATTTAAGGGCTTTAGACCAAGTCTACTAAAACAAAGTACACCATGATGTCTTAGGAGTTTCTGAATCGAGTTGAAGTGTAAGCTCCGCATGAAGTCTCCAAGACTTTCTACATTCTATATTGTAGAATATTTGGCATCCACAACATATCTTCTACACAATATGAGTATGGTTAAACGAAAATGTTAGAGGTTGATCGGTGGCGACATCAGAATGAACAAGATTAGGAATGGAGATATTGAAGAATACTGTTAGTCACACAAGAGAAACTGAGGCAACACCAATTAAGATGGTTTGATCATCTCTATTGTCACACCCGTATTTTTACTAATATTACTATAATATAAATTAAAGGCTTTATCGGGTATTTCGTTGCCGAATTGGAATAATCATTTCACGGTTGAGAGTTTCAACCCGAAGTGTTCCAAGAACAAAGCCCCATGAAAACCCAATATGAAATTTGGGTCATGTTAGTGGTCCGAGAAACTTATCGTGCGACCAAAGCCCCATCAAAAGCCGCCTAAGACACTGGATCATAACAAGGTTCGGACACGGTCGGAGCGAGGGGTGGGCGGAGCAGGATCAGGATCAGCTGGTGGCTCGAAGACAGAGACACGCGCAACCTGGCCAACTCAACCTAAGGTCGCCGGCCAAGGTCGCAGGAAGGGTTATGGCATGTTTAAGGGCTGGTTTTTCTAGGCTTCTGCTCATTTTTCATCTTCTTCAGTTACTCCATGGTTTGGGCATTTTTGGAGCTTGGAGACTGATTTTTGGAGCTCTTCAAGTGTCGTTTGAGGATTAGGAAGCTCCATACAAGGATTTAGCTTGGATTCTCAAGTTTGAAATGGTAAGAGTTTTTGGGTATTTTGAGATCTATGTTTGGGTCTCTTTAGCTTGGTTGTTGATCTTGAGGAGTTTACATGGAGAGATTTGCTTATGGATCTCACTTCCACGTTTGGGAAGCTAGAGCTCGACTTTGGAAACTAAGTTTAACCTCACCTAGCAAGGTGAGTTTCAAGTTGCATGGTACAAAATATAAATATACTTGCCAAAAATGTCCATTTGGAGTCAAGTGTTTTCATTGATATTATCGAACGTGTTGATTATTTGATGAAATTTGCATATTTGGTACATTTGATTTTACAAAGTTTGTAAAACACTTACATTTGGGGTATTTGGACATTTGTTAAACAAATCATAGAAGTGTGATCTTTTGATGATTTATCGCATATAATGGTGATTATTTGACATTACTGTACCTTTGTGCATATAATGGTGATTTATTTCATAGAAGTCTCATAACTCATTGAAAATGTTTATTTTGAGTTATTGGATATTTTGAGATATAAATCATAAGAGTTCACTCTTATTGAGATTTGTTGCATCAATTGGGATTTTAATGTATATTATACTTTGGGTCATGAGAGTGCTTAAAACTCTTTAAAATGGGTTTTAGTGTATACTATACTTTGGGTCATGAGAGTGCTTATAACTCTTTAAAAATGCGTTTTTAGGATTTATGACGCCTCTTATTGAATTGTTCAAACAAGTTGAAAAGTTTGCTAACTTAGGATTGACTCAAATGTTCATTTTTGGATTTATTGCATATAATGGTGATTATTTGACATCATTGTATCTTGGTTCATATAATGGTGATATATTTCATAAAAGTCTCATAATTCATTAAATAATGTTGATTATGAGTTCTTAGGTACTCTGAGATATAAAACATAAGAGTTCACTCTTAGTGAGATTTGTTGCATCAAATGGGATTTTAATGGATAGTACACTTTGGGTCATGAGATTGCTTAAAACTCGTTAAGAATGCGTTTTTAGGATTTATGACATCTCTTATTGAATTAGTCAAACAAGTTGAAAAGTTCGCTAACTTGGATTGGAGTCAAAATGTTCATTATGGGATTTTGTCCAACACAATGAGTTATGGTGGTTTTTATGATCATCGGTTGATTATATTAGCCCCATTTGGGCACTTGACACATTTACTTGTATAAATGTTGAAAAATACATATCTTTGGGTCACTGACGTTTTAAGGCGCAAGTCCTATGAGTCGTGGCCTTTGGTTGTTTTAAACCATGTAACACGCCGCGTTGGGATTTGCCCAATTTTTGGGTGTTCACTAGTGTATGTGAACATTAGATGCTTATGTGGGCATAATTACTTGGAGTATACATGTTGTTGGTGTGTTTGATCTACCATGTCATAATTTGCCAAGTTTGGGGTTATGATGCTTTAACCCCTATGCATGAGAGTTAACTGCTTTGTGTTGTCAAATGGATGTTTATGGTTCCCATCTTGAATGCTAGTGAATATACACTAAAGGTCGAATGGGAACCTGGCACTCAACTAGAGAACGAACGGGCATTAAGATTCGGTATTCTTGAGGTGACACTCGGAGAAGTGTGCACTAAAGATGCGATTACCTTGAGGTGAAACTTGGTTGAGTAGACACTAAAGGTATTGAGGACTTGAGGTGATACTTGATATAGTGTGCACTAAAGTATATGAATCTGAGGTGTAGTTCGATAACTTTGATGTGTGGCCTACTTGTGTGTTCCGCCACATTAAATGGAAACGTGTCTCCCCCGTCATCGAAAGATGTACTTGCCTTTTAGGAGTACGAGTAAAAGATGATTTTCAAAAGGTGTTGTGTATTTTGCATCCATGTTTCTATGTGGGGAAATCGTTATTTAAAGAGTGTTCTTTCAATTTTACTAATCTATATTTAATGTATAAACTACCTCAACTCACTAAGCTTTAAGCCTAACACTTTTTCTTGTCGGCACGTGCATCATGTCCTTGTAAGGTTTGGTACTAGCGAGACTTGTGAATAGTTGAGTGCTAATTAGAGGCTCGAGAAGAATTTAGCTTTGTGGGACGTCTTTCATACTTTGGAGATTGCGACTGTTATTGGGTTTTTTAGTAAAACACGTGCTTAACTTAGAGTTCAGGTAAGATTTGGCTTGTAAATTGTAGAGTTAAATCTTAAAGTAGCATTATAGGTCAACAAGTGTTGACCTTTGGAGAGAAATTTATTCTTTAATTGGGGTGTCACAAAAAATTTATATTAGTCACTCTTTTCCAAATTTTAGGGTTTTACATCTATTATAAACCTGTAGACGCAATAATGAGTAAGAAGCCTGAACAAAGATTATAATAGGGAGTAAGGATGATTTGAATGACCTAACATGACCTTAGATATGAAAACGTGGAATGATGTTTTACATGTCCAAAGGACCTCGACTCATTCATTCTCTGTAATTTTTGATGATTTTAATTTATCACAACCATTTTGGGAAAAAAAGCATTTTATGTACATTGTTCTTGACGGCTTCAAAAAAACATGTTAGATTCATCACAAGATAAATAGAAATTAACAATTCAATTACGTGATTATCTATCCCTTGATCAAATATAGAAAGCAAAAAGATCTTTATTGAACAATTAATAATACATAAGTTGAGCAAGTTACTAACAAATGAAGCATTATATCCATGCAAAAATACTAATATAATCCAAAATTATGTACTTTTATCCATATTGGTAATATATAAGATATATAAATGGAATACGACAATTTTTTAGACTTCTATTTCCAAATTTACGGGTATACGATTTTAACGACACCATGAGGGTACCCCATTTAATAGCACACCAAAAACTTCCTCCAATTGTAGTTACGTAGTAAAAAAAGGACTCAATAATAAGTTGACAAGTATGAGTTTAGTTACTATCATTTTAATAAGATCAAAGATGTATTCATAATATAATGCTCAGGATCCAAATGCATCTTTTAAGAGACAATAGAAGTAATTGGTTTAGCTTTTAAGGTGGAGATAATTTTGTACATTGCACATAATGAAGGTATTCTTTGAGGCAAGTCCTTTTATGGGTACATGCTTTGTTGTTGAATTTCATTAGGCATGTCCTACTTCTTATAATTTTATTGCATAGCATACATGTATGCCTTCAAGATTGTACAATAGAATCAACTGCATTTATCTTAAAGAAAAGGAAGAAATACCTCATTTAATGAGTGGCAAATGGCTTCTTCTCCCAGAGATGCATACATGGTCACAACTGTGGCATTGCGCCTGAAACAAGCCTAATTGATGGCACAAGATATGATGGTTACAGTTCAGATCATGATAGTAGATGTTCTGATAGTGTAGGGTAGGGGTTACTTGACAATAAAACTAGAGGATGTCGCTAGAAACATACAAACATGACAGTCATATATTTATAGTAGTATCTTTTTTAGCATAAATAACAACATCTCTACATTCAAAAGCAAAAATGCAAGAATAACGTATCTATATCATTTAAATGTGCAACGTGAGGTTACATCAATTAATAAAAACTGGCTCAACCATGTTAAGGTGCAAAACTAGATTGTAGATGAAGTACCTGTAGAGCAATGAACCATTCTTCCCGTGTATCCGCAAAGATTGCTACGCGTTCTCCAGTTTTATGCCCAACTTGCACCAAACCGGATGCAAAATTACACACAACTTGAAACACCTGACTATAGCACATCCACTCGTAATCACCTAAATGAAGCTTTTCAAAAGACTTCCCGTCTTGATGTACTTCGGTATCTCTAGAAATTAATTTTCGTGTTCCAAGTAGCTTCTTCTCACCATGTTGCTTGCATGCCTGCTCAAAAAGTTCTGCAAGAGTTTTGATCCCTACCCACGCTGTTTCAATTGGAGTTGTAAATCGATAGTTTCTGATCGCATACCCAGGTTCCCCACCGACATTCGCAGGTAGACCTCGGGTTTTCCTTTTTTTAGAGTTTCGAAGTGCAAGAGTGAGTAGAAGAGGCGCCAAGAAACCGACAATATACGCACTCATATTCAGGTAGATCTTGTAACCCCAAAAAATTAATGTAATCACTGAAACAAGTATATCACTTATTAAGGTACTAGATATATGTGTTTTCGTCTTTGTAGAACACATGTCTTAAGAACACAACCAAATTGCGCATTGAAAAATGTAGCGGATAGTTTGATAAACATGCATCATATAGTAACAACAATACTAAACCGACAGGCCAACAGTATCCATAAAGATTTCAAAATTTTAAATCTCTGAAGTGATGTACCATAATGAACAAGTTTGGTAGGTCTCACAAACCCATTTCTTTGGCATTTCGTCACGAGTTACAAACTTTGGTTGGTCTCCTAAATAAAAGGAAACGCTAACAAGTCACAATGTCATCATGATTCACCTCAAACATGCAAGACCAACGACGCACTCCACCAGTATGGTAGAGTATGGTAGATTAACCTCGGATGATGGTGGCACCCCACCTGTGAGATACAAATCATAACAGGCACCACCCTTATGTTTGTAGCAGGAGCTGATGCGGTAGAGCTTGCTCGTGCTAGGTTTTGCATATACAATCATGGCTCTAAGACCATTTAGAAGCAATCACTTAAGTGTATTGATTACCGAGAGAAATAATAAAACATTTAAACTACATGGTGGTCCAACAAGTCGAGGCATAGAAATCTAGAACTTAAAAGAGAATACATATCCTATAAATCTATCAATTTGCTTCCTTGATTGTGTTGGGTTGTAATATGTGAAGCTGGTTTGATTATCTCCCATTCCTTGAGCTTTTTGACTTACGCTTCCTTTGCATGGCTTTCTTGTTAGATTGAAATTCTTGTTGCTAGTTTTCTATATCTTATAAATTATTGTTAGTAAACCATAACTTCAATTGACTAACATGAAAAGTAAAACAACAAAAGGTACTAGTATATTGTGTCTCAAATAATTGGACATGTTTGCAGATCCTATCAATTGAATGATAAGGATAGGATATGATGATCTAAATTTGTTTGCCACCATCTACAACAAAACCCCTTGTTATTTTGTATGGTCTCAAGTAAGGGTTCGATTATCTTGGTTCCCTAGGATTTTGAGGTTTGGTATGACTAGGATTGGGTGCCATTATAGGTATTCTTCATTCATCATCATCACATATGTGTCTCATTGATTGTTTGTGTTTGATGATATTGAAATCAAGAGTGATACCATAGAAGAGATTGCATCCTTGAAAATATGGCATTCAATGAAAATTTTAGATAAATGATATTGAATATTTGCGTTTTTACTAGATATTGTGGTTGCTTGTTTCACAAGGGTGTATTTATGTTATGATTTATTGGTCCCAATTACTTTTCTCCCATTGTCCCATGCTAATCATCATAGCAAATGCAAGAAGGGTCAAATGGTACATGAAAAGTAGTTGGTGTATTTGTTCTATGCCTTCAAAAATGATATGTTATGATTAGTTTCCCACTAAGCTTTAATGATCAACTAAGAACATGACATAACTTTTAAATCAATTGTTCAACAAATAAAAAGAAGCTATCAAGAGCTTTAGGATGTCAAAAGGTTATTAGTGAATATTTCACTGATATAAATGCTCAAAACTTGTTGTGAAGCCAATAAGTTAAAACTAAAAGATTCATGATATGAGTAGCTTACCGTAGCAATTCAAAGGAGAACAAAGCCTAACATAGATTACATAAATTGTTCTGAGCTTCTAAAATCAAAATATATAATCACTTGGATAATAATATGTCAATTTGGTGCATGCCCCTCTCGTTATTATAGTCTTGTCAACCAAATGCCATTCTCAAGGCCTAGTTACTCAGGTGGCATGGGCTCGTGAAGTTGATCGAGAGTCTATCTGTTGAATATTAAAGTGATCTCAAATGGGTTAAGAACTACATAAATAAAACTCTTCTATGATAATGTCAAATAACTCTCTAAATCTCGATCACTAAATTAGAAAGGCATGGTATAAGAAGTCTGCGAATAAATGTCTACATCGGAAAAAGTTGACTATAAAAGTTCTAACTATGAAAATGCAAAGAGTTTCCAGGGGATGCATGTGCCAATTGTTAGCATATATGTGTACATAAATTTGGAGCACTCATTATAAGTTGTAGGATGCTTTGTTGACTAAGCACTCAGAGTATATGAAAGCTGTCGGTGCTAACAGTCTATAGTCTATCCCCTACACTCGGTGTATTCCACAATGTCCGTCCATCTGTAACATAAACAAACAAAAACGGCAAAAAAAATTTTTGGGGAAATGGGAACAGGAAACAAATTGACCAGTTGATATATGGTGTAGAGGATCAAAACTCACAAATCCAACATGTAGTAATGCTAAAATTATCTTAAAAACACGCCACCTTGCCCAAAAAAAATTCCACACTGGACTTTTGACTGTCTACTGCCAAATGAGTCATTCTTTAGCGCCAAAATTCAGAAAATTTATTTTGGAATCTTGATTATCAAACTACATAAAAAAATAAACAAGAAAGATGTACGGGATTAAAAAACTGAAATTTATACGTCTAATTTTAATATGGGAGATACTAGTTTAAATCTAAAGACGACTAGTGAGGAAGTACATACCAATAATGTGCATTAAGCAGAGATGAAAGAAAGAAGCTAAAAGGAAGCTACACATCATACACCGGAGTGAAAGCAAAATGCTCTAATCGCATGAGAAAATTAATGCAGACGATGATGAACTTCCCCACAGAAAAACTAGAGAAAACAAGGATTTACAGTAACGAAACAAAAGTTGAAATAGGGAACATACCTCAAGAGTTGTCGTGGTTGAAGAACCAACTCACAACAAGAATCAGATGAGCAGCAATCACAGAGATATTAGAGCAAGGGTTTTGATGAAAATGTTGAGATAAGAGGAGAGAAGAAAATAAATGGTGGCGGGAGGAGCGGGCGGAGAAACCAAAGAGCAGAGGGTTGTAGTATCAGACGGTAGTGCCAGTGTTGAAATATTGAATTTTGAGTGGACTAGCTCTGTTGCCGATTGGCGCAAGGGTTAAAAACAAGAGCAAAAGACGTAATGAAAATGAGCTGCGTCTACCAAGTCCAACGGTGTGGGCGCAAAGGTAAAAACCAACTGTTACATGACGAGAGAGGCCATAATAGATTGTTTTTATTTTAGTTTTTAATACCATTATTACACTATAGTATAAGTATATAATAGATTTTAATTAAATTTATTATTTTCTGATCACCATAAAGTTATCTTTTTATATAGATAAGAGACGATAAATTTAATTAAAAACTTATTTCAGATCGTATATCTTTAAATGATCCCAACTCAAGATTAAAAATACAAAAATAAGATATTTTCAACTTCAACCTACTATTAAAACACTAAAAAAATGGATGCAATCAAAATTGGCCTCTATATTTGGGGGTCAAGGTCTCTATTTCTCAATTAATTTTATGTTGAGTTTTTATAAGTATATGTGTGTGTGTGTGTATATATAAGTGTACACGGGGAGGGTCCTAAGATTTTTTATGTTCTGTACGAAAATAATAAAAAATGTCCCTAAGCCTATTTTTTTAATTAACCTGGATATCCAACCCGCTATGCGAGCCGACTAATCCCAGGGCGACCATCTACTTTGCAGATAGCCCGGAGTCATTGGATTTGAACCTCCGTGGCCACAAGGGGATTTTTATTCCTCATTTGATTTGAACCTGGGAACTCCTGGTACTTTTGACCTTTGGAGCCAAGCTCAAACCAATCAGGCACCACCCTTGTGGTTCCTAAGCCTATTTTTTTAAGCCAATGAAACAACAAAACATGTGAAGACTGCCCAAGCCTCAGCGAATGCTGAAGAGACCTTTAGGGTTATTCCAGCATTCAGCGATCAAAAGAAGTTTGTTGAGTAAGATTGTTTTTGTCGTGTCCTTCCACACACAAATGACAAACTCATATCCTTTCTAGAGTATAGTACAGTACAAAGCTGATTAGTTGACTCTACTATCCATCAACTCCATGAAAGGATGTCTGCTCATGAATAGGCTTTTGTACTATTCACTGTAACAAATGACTAGTCTTTCTCTAAAGGTTTGACGCGTGTTCAAACCCTACAGCATTGCATTAAATGTGCATTTAATGCAATGAATATAAATAGATCTGTTCTATCTCCATGCAGAGATACGATCTAATTCTTATGTGTATACGTGAAAGAACACACATCTAAGAACACAATACGCTTATCTTCAAAAGCAAGTTAGAATCTCTTTTTAATTATTCTAAATAGTTCTTACCTAGAAATAACTTACTTTCTTCTTAGTTTTAAACAATAAATCATTTCTCTTTGCTAAGAACATTTGTGTGTAACTAAAATTGTTTAGATAGGTTTTCTTTACCTTATCTTTTCCGCAAACAATCTTGTAAAATCTGTATTGATTCTTCTTTATCAATATATATTTTAAATTTGAAAAGTTTATTGTGTTTGTATTCATCTCCCCTTCTACAAATTGTTTCTACACATCTTATAGACCCTAACGGGACCAACAAGTGGTATGAGAGCAGTGTATTTCTCTTCTTGTTGTTTAGTTGTTTTATGCATTATATTATCTCCTTCTCTAGATAATCTTATTGCTTTCAAATGACTTTACAAAACACAAACACACACTTTCATCATAATGGCTCTCTTGCCAAACCTTCCCGATTTATCTGAGACAACTTTAGTGTTTGGAAGAATCGGATGTCCCTCTTTCTGGAAGGTGTGGATCCTGAAATTCCACACTACATAGAAAATGGACCATATGTTCCATACGCTATTTCTCTGGTTGTTCCTGAAACAGCTACGACTGTCGCGATTCTTGAACGACAGATTCCAAAGCTCCCTCATCAATGGAGCGATGAAGACAAGAAGAAAATAGCTATAGACACTCGTGATAGGCCTATAATAGTTATGTCTATTCCTGATGAGGTTTATCATTCTGTGATGAAACTTAGAATCTCTAAATCCATGTGGGACACTTTATGTGTTCAATATGAAGGAACCTCTCAGGTTCAAGAATCGAGAAACATTAATTTAGTAAGACAATACGAAAGCTTTCTCTGTGAAAAGACTAAGACATTGTCTAAAGTACATCAACGTTTTAATTGTCTTCTTATTGATTTAAGGACTGTCGATAAGGAATATTCCAATTCTGAAACTTTAACGAAGTTTCTGGAATGTGTAGCTGAGTCTTGGGATATTTATGCCACATTTCTCAAGATGTCCAATGACATGTCCTCTCTCTCTTAGCACTCTATATGGGATACTGTTCAATCATGAACAGTCTCAACAGCTGAAAAGGAATCTAATCAAGGATTCCAGATAAATGAAGAGCTCTCCGTTAGCTCTGATATTTGAAGATGCTTCAGTTGAACTCCCATCTTCTTCTTCTTCTTCTTCTTCTTCTTCTTCTTCTTCTTCTTCTTCTTCAGTTTTTCCTCTTATTGTTATCACTGAGTTAGATTCTACCAAGTCTGAGGATCTATCAGAGTCTGATCTTGCAAACTTTGATGAATCACTGGTGCTATTGACTAAATCTTTTAGAAGATTCACCAGAAAAAGTAACTTCTGCAGATCTCCTTCGCTAACCATCAAGGAAAAGCCAAAGTTTGATAATATAGACAAGGCTCCAACGATCTGCTACAATTGTCACCACAAGAGTCACTTTGTTGGTGAATGCAGGTCTAAGAAGGTTGTGACGCCATCTTCTAAAACCCCATTTTCCTTCAGATCTAAAGATGACAAATACCTGAAGCTGGAGGAGAAGTATAAGAAGATGAAGAATTCCCAGCGAAAGGCCAAAGGTCTTGTCGCTGAAGAGCATGACTATGCTGATTCGTCTGATGAATCATCATCTGATGAGGAAGGCACGACCTATCTCTGCTTGTTTCACTCAAAATCGGTCGTTGATTGTTAAGAGGTTCAAAAAGACAGCTTACGAGCTTTTCCATGGCAGAAAGCCCTCTATCAACTTTCTACATATCTTTGGTTGCACGTGTTATATTCTCAAAAACCTTGATCAACTAGGAAAGTTTGATCCCAAAGCTGATGAAGGAATCTTTCTTGGATATTCTTCCATGTCCAAAGCCTTTAGAGTATTCAACAAACACCAACAGACGATAGAAGAAACTATTCATGTCACATTTGATGAATCTTAATCAGCTAATTTTAAACTCGTCATAAATGATGACAAAGAATTAGAAAACTGGATGTTTTCTCATTATAGACAACCTAAAGCTTCATTTAGCGTTCCTCTCAACACTGAAGCCCCAGAAGCTGAAGATGATCCATTAATCATTCCAGTTGTAGCTAGTCACACCAACGTGTCTTCTTCAGAGACCGTTGTTGTGCCCATTAGCTGTGCTCCACCTTCTACTTCAAACATTGATCAATCAGTGAATGAAATGCCTTCAACATTTGAACCTATATCAGTCGCTGAATCTAAGGCTCCTTTAGCAATTATTCGAATCACTGAAGAATCTACAACTGAAGCCTCATCCTCTGTTTCTGAACTTCTATGCTCAGATGATAATCTTCTACCAGCTCAACGATGGACTAAAGACCATCCTATTTATCAAATTCTTGGTGATCCAGGTGTAGGTATTCAGACTCGTCGTGGTCTAGGTAATATATGTCTCTTTGTCAACTTTCTTTCTTTAGTTGAGCCCAAGAAGATCAATGATGTTATCTCAGACCCTAGCTGGATTATTTCCATGCAAGAGGAGCTCATTGAGTTTGATAGAAACAAAATCTGGTACCTTGTCCCATGTCCATCTGACAAAACAGTGATAGGAACCAAATGGGTCTATCGCAACAAGTTAGATGAAAGAGGTGTGGTAACCCGTAACAAGGCTCGACTTGTTGCTCAGGGTTATAGACAAGAAGAAGGGATCGATTATGACGAGACCTTCGCACTAGTGGCTAGACTCGAAGCAATTCGACTCTTTTTAGCCTTTGCTGCTCATAGAGACTTTAAAGCCTACCAAATGGATGTAAAGAGCGCTTTCCTTAATGAAAAACTTCAAGAGGAAGTTTATTGTAGGACCTGTAAATTCAGCTTTGATATTGATCTATTATTCTGAATGAACTTTAGGACGATTAAACTGCAGCGGAAACAATTATAAGAACATAACAGAGTAATTAAACCAAGAACACACAGTTAAGAAGAAGAAGATGAACACAGGAGAATAGCTTCAAAGGTTTTTCAATTAATTCAATTGAAAATTGACGATTACAATACGGAAGCACACTGAATACAAAGGCCTTAGCCGCTATTTATACTAGTTCCTAACGACCTTACTGACAAGATCTTGACGCGTGAAATCATCTAAGCCGTCCAAATAAAGTTGATTAAGTCCTAGACACGTGAGAAGCACATGCAGCTAATAACCATTGAAAAACAGTTGGAAGAGGATCTTCACAGAAGACGAAATCCGCAGACCCTCTGTGAGCCATCTCAGAGGCTCTGCTGTAATAGACTTGCTTATTCTTATTGACAGAGGACCATTTTCCAGAACCTCTGTGAGAGACATCAGAGGTTCTGTCATACTTTCCTTGTTCGAATATAAGGCTTCTGTCGTTAGTCCTCTGTTGTCTTCTGTGGAAGATAAGCTTCTGTCAAGACTTGTAGAATACTTTTTCTATACTTTTACAAGAGATGAATAACAGAGCTAACATTTATGTTGAACAACCTCCAGGGTTTCTTGACCCTAAGAATCCAAACCATGTCTATCGTTTGGATAAAGCTTTTTATGGGTTAAAACAGGCTCCCTATGCCTGGTATGATACCCTCTCCTCGTTTCTCATCTCTAAGAAATTCGTTCGTGGAAATATTGACCAGACGTTATTTCTTAGGAAAGTTAAAGGTCATATCATTTCTAGTCCAAATATATGTCGATGATATTATTTTTGACTCCACTAATCCCTCCTTATATTTTCGATTCGCTGATCGCATGAAGAAAGAATAC